AACACACGACACATGGGACATCTGTGAAATTAAATTGTACTTTCCCGAGACGCCTCAAAGGCAGAGGGACTAGAAAGTTTGGTCTCTGACTGGCAACACTTGCATGGATTAGCTACGGGAAGGGTCGCTAGATACTTGCAAATCACCGGATTAAGTGCATCAGCCAAGCAGCAGCGTGGAAAGCAATTACGTTAACCCCGTCTCAGTCCACGGAAACTTCATCAACCAAACTCCAATTTCGTTTCACTCTTCACAGACTTTCAAGATGAACATTGATACATTGTTCTAACATCCTCAAGAGTTTTCGATGATGACAGTAATAAGACAGACGTAAATGGAAACAACGGGGAAGTATACCACATCGACAGCTCCACGTTTCATTAGCAATTATACGGCACTGCAAGGAGAAACTCCTCGCCGTGCACGTAAGAAAATATTATGTTATCATCTACCCCACAGATTACGTAGCAAGTAGGCGGTAATGGCCTTAACATAACCTGTGACTAGCGACTACATGGTTCGAGCATGGGGGGTGTTGGCGCCAGATTTTCTGGAAGCCATCCACCAGAAATAATTTCTATCCTCTCACTGCATTCCTACCCCTTCACACGCCGAGCGTCGCAGAGCGTCTTCAGTCTCAACTCAACAGCGACGTATCTCCAGCTGTTCCAAGTGAGTGCTTTCAAGACCACTGCTGTTCTGTGTCAGCTCTCATCGCGACGAGTATGAAGATGTTTGTCTTCTGGGATGTACACAACGTCGTCTTGAAGATAATGACCGACGTTTCCGAAGTCCTTACTGCCTAAATTATCGGGGCAACAGCTATCGTTATGATTCAGGGCACAATATATTTTTTTGTGAAACGTTGGTTATCTACTGACGACTATACACTACGTCACAACCAAGAACAACATCGTCAAACAGTGAGGGGGTTACCTTTTTGTCGCGTAGACACGTTGCAAGCCGCTCCCTGTCCAGAACGCGGTACGAGCAGTGATATGGCTGCCATCGCATCTGACTCCAAATGCAGGAAGTTCTGTGGGAACACGAGGAACACGGTAGCAGCCAGCGACCTGTATCGTTAATGGACAAAGTTGCGTTTTAGAATATGAGAGACGTGATAAACATATGAAGGCAAGATGCAAATAATGTTTCGGTTACACAATCATCAAACATCGCCTAAATGTGACTTAATTTCTCACTTCACACGGTGGTCTAGCGGTTAGAACGCTGGCCTTGTAATCCTGCGGTCCCGGGTTCGATTCCCGGCGGTACCCGAATTTATAACTTGTGTTGGGCAAGGCCATGGTCTAGGCAACACGGAGTTTTCCTCCGGGGGCTTCCCCGGTTTCTCCGTGGCATCCCATTCACACACAGAAGAAGGCAATGGCAAACCACTTCTGGATCATCTGCCAAGAACGTATATGAACAGGTCCCAGTCCGAGAAAAGGATGAAAGGATCCTGTTCATATGGACCTGTCGTCAGACAGAACACTAAATAAAAAAATTAAAAAAACCAAAACTTGGTAATATTCTTTGTGACAACTTCCTGGAGTAATATTCTCTTAAAATCATTCGTAGTTTCATTAGCACTTCAAAATAAATTAGCCGCAAGTTCCTTAAAGGAATCACACTTTAAAGCTGTTGAACATTTCTTTGTATTTATAAAGCAATAGGTTCTTAGAATAATTCCAATTGCTGGAGTGAGAAACGTTTTACACCTCCATACTTCCATTGAAATATGTCATATCCATTATAAACCCGGGCTAAATTTTACGTAAAAAAACTAATTTAAATATCTTAGGCACACAAAATAACTTTATGATGTAAGGAGTGAATTCGTATGCACCCTACGCGCATTAGAGGGCGCATATTCTTAGCCTCTGACAGTAGATCCGTTGGGGCCATATAATCGGATGTTATTCCTTTTAGTGCCCGAGTATATTCGCAGATACCCGTATTCACCTCGAAAACCCATAGATCCAGAAGATATAAAAGTATAATTACACATGGTAAGATTTCAGGTTTTTACGACTGAGAGTTTGAAATAGGCCATCTTCTGGGATGTTGAGCGCTGCGGTCTGGTAGACGCTGAATGACGTTAAGAGGTGCTTGTTGCTTCCTTTATCAGGGCGATTACATGGCGCAATAACTCAAAGACAGTCATCTTCATACTCGCCGCCGTGAAAACGTGAAATCTCACCTTAGCAGTGTCTAAAATGAAAACGTAAATTCGGCCATGACAATTTGAGGGGCACATAATAAGGCCCACAGGGCAGTAGTAACTCAGTTTAAATAACATCACCAATCCGTGAAAAAGACACCAAACAATGAGACTAGTTTATTTATTATTTATAAATTATATTATTTTACACTGTAATCGGTACTTGCATAACACTTAAGAATATAAAACACTTATTTGCATAATATTAATTTTTATGAAAATAGAAAGTAAAATTGAAATATTTCTTGGCGCCTTAAACTGAACGCCAATTTAAACTCGAAATTCCTGCAGAAGTCATTAGAAGGAAACACAGAGAATAGACATCGGTGTAGCATTCATGTGGCAAAGTGGACAAAAAGTGACCAAATTCGACAGTGGGCTTCATTACCCGCGGGTACCCAGAACTATAAGTGAATCAAAGACATGAGGAAGGAAACATCGAAATAAGGCAGAAACACCGAAGGAACGTTGTATCTCGTTGCATTCTTACAGCCGCTCGACTGAACGGTTTATTGGTTACAGAATGCGAGTAATTAGGAACGTGTAATTGAAGAAAGAGAAGACGTTCTCTCTCGGCTGGTGGAGGAATGTGTTGGCACTGGGAGGCAACTATGCGGCAAAGAGGATTCACCACTCGCATCCCGGTGTTATGAAGAAACAAAATTAACACTCAAATAACCAGCCTTTTATAATACTGGCATCCCAGCAATTACTCCATTCACACACAGAAGAAGGCAATGGCAAACCACTTCTGGATCATCTGCCAAGAACGTATATGAACAGGTCCCAGTCCGAGAAAAGGATCGAAGGATCCTGTTCATATGGACCTGTCGTAAGACAGAACACTAAATAATAAATACGCCTCAGTATAATATTAAGATCAGAATGAGCCTATTCATTCACAAGGGATTTTATATGTGTCTGAAATCTCTGAGAAATAATTAAAATTCTTTCTTGTGACAAAATTCAGTGTGAAAGGAAACATTTTTTTGGTGACAGGACACATATTTTTGATAATATCATAGTTTTATCATATGTAATGGGATTGAACGTGGCTTATATATATTAATAGCTTTTGTAAAAAGTCCACACAAAATTAAATTCTAGACACCATGAGAGAAACAGCATCTATATACTGTCGTAGGTATTAAATGGGTTTAGTTACCGTCTGCACCAGACAGAAGATACGTAAAGTTAAAATTCATCTCTGAGTCAGATATTTAAAGCTGGTTCATATCTCTGTATCTCTGAGACTAATTCTGGTAAAAATAATTTTTTGCCGAATAAAGAACGAAAATGGAACTGAAATGCACATGACACCATATTTGTTCATGATAATAACATTTTAATTTAAAAATACTGTAGTGGACGTTTATCCAAGTAAGTTAAAATCCTCCTATGTTGCTTAATTTTTGTTTATCCGAGTAAGATAATAAAATATGTAAATATTTTAGATAAGCTTAAAAAAGTTGTTTGTTATTTTATAAAGCAATTGTTAAAATTCTCCGACCTGGATTAAAATTGAGATGGTTAAAACATTCCCGAAGACTGCCCAATATTAAATTTAATTAAAATCGGGACACCGTTCTTCACCTAATTCATGTGAACGATGGAAGATGGTCCCATTCTACGTCACTTCAACAGCCGATGAACACACTTTTACCCACACTGTGTCTGAGACTGTGACATGAGACCGCTATTAAACTGTAATTAATATTATGAAAGGAAAGCATTCCTAAGTTGTTTCTCCTCACCACGTAGTTTTCTCTCTGCCTACGCGACTGGGGCTACGCACTCAGAATTCCAATACGAATGGAACAGTCATGTTAAACAATGGATTGCTACATTCCCACTTGGGAGATACGTTAAAATACTGCGTAGATAAAGCAACAGTATTGAGATAAAAGGGGTAATTGCCATGCCATTCCTCGATGCCTGCACACAATCCGGAATCTTGAAAGACTTAAGTATCGATTCCTAATTGGATTGTTTTGTTTATCTTTATAAGCGTTCATACTGAAATTGCAGAAAATTGGTTATAACTTAGACATGCCTGTCCGTCTGTCACATGTACCAGCTCAGGAACCGCTAATCATATTTTAATTAAAACTTGTACCGGAGAATTTTACTAAATAATACCGGGCACATTACATGAAGACCAGTATATGTTCCTGTTGACTAGAGTTACTTTCGGGGACAATCCTCAGCCAGACACCACCTCCAGAAAACCACGTGGAACAATCTCAAATGGAATGCCCTGACTTTATGAAAAAGGCAGGCAGCCAACTCAAATTTAATTAATCCCAAACAACACTGACATCACTGATACAACTCAAAAAGATCACAAGTCCTTTTGACAGACAAAAGGAAAAATCCATTACTTACGTATCCAAAAATTTAAAATAAAGGTGAAATACTGAACGAACGAATTAGCTTCGTTTTGCTGTACAAATATTTTCTACGAAATTTTAAAAAAGTAAGTAATTATACTGTGGGCACACGCGACGTTGACGAAAAGTACCAACAGACTCAAATTCATTACCAACTCAGCGATCGAGATACTTAGAATGGGACAGTCTGAGAATTAAAATGCACAAAATTTTGGAAGGGAAAAAAATCGAGGCGAAACGCTGAATTTACTAGTTCCAATATCGTTATGACAGGATGACGTATTGAGAATTTTAAAAACGCGAATACTATAAACGCCCTGCAGTTACAACAGCTACAAACTTGGACCCCGATCTGCTCCAAGTTTGTGACACAAGCCTCAAGGTAGACGCCCGTATCTTGTACTGCCATATGCGACCTAGACCCCTCGAGACTACTCACGCGCCAGCAGTTTTTCCTTACTTATCAGCAGTTCTTCACAGACTGCCTAATCACTGCGCCAATAAGTGGAATGGTATTATCCCTGGAGTAATTATAGCTGTTGTGGTCTCTTATTTAACATAATGATATTTTATGTAACAAAAAAATGTGAACACTTTCAGGCAAAGACTCGTGCAAAAATATTTGAAACCGCAAAATTAAAAAAATTTAACCGTTATAAATTTAACTTATGGAACTTTACAACATTTTATTCTTAGAATGGAGTTAAACCCTGAGTAAATCGTAAGCTACACGCGTAGCATTTAACGTAGGAGCAGGTGGCATACTCTGTTACCATCGAACTACAAAGGATTCAGACACGACCTTATGCTATTAAAGACGTAAATAAACTTTACGACAAGATGTGGTTTTATTTCAGAGGGACTAGCATGATGATTAACTTTGGGTCTCACGGTGGTCTAGCGGTTAGAACGCTAGCCTTGTAATCCTGGGGTCTCGGGTTCGATTCCCGGCGGTGCCCGAATTTATAACTTGTGTTGGGCAAGGCCGTGGTCTAGGCAACACGGAATTTTCCTCCGGGGGCTTCCCCGGTTTCTCCGTGGCATCCCAACAATTACTCCATTCACACACAGAAGAAGGCAATGGCAAACCACTTCTGGATCATCTGCCAAGAACGTATATGAACAGGTCCCAGTCCGAGAAAAGGATGGAAGGATCCTGTTCATACGGACCTGTCGTCAGACAGAACACTAAATAAAATACTACGGACACAGACGGGTCTGACAACGGGGATCCTCTGATCCGTTTATAAACTTCTAGTTTTAACGTTGAATAACGTTTATAAAATCACGGTACATTCGAAACTGTAAGATGTAAGGTAACGCTCGTGTAGGCGTATGCGAGGTGGAGATGCAGGCCCACAGAGAAACTGGGTGGGGGCTAGCTTCTCGCTCCGGCCAGACCCCTGGAACCCATAGCATAGAAGGGTGGACGAGTCCTGTCCTGTCGGGGAATCGAAGCCCGGTCGTCTCCTTCTCGCAACCCAGTTTCAGGCTTCAAGTTTAACAGCCTACTTATGCGTAGTCTTTAAATTTTATTGTTTAGTTAGACATTATTTCATGTTTGAAAAATTATAGAATGGGATTGGGCAGTGAAGGATTGTTTTCAAAACCCAGCAAACTTTCCAGGAACTGCGCGTATTTTATGACAAAGTTAAAGTTTGAAGTTGCACCGTTTTTTTTTAGGAAAGGAACACGAATTTATGTGGGGGGGGGGGGGGGGAGGGGGGAATGTATGTGTAGGTTTAGGTAAAATGTACGCGAGACGCCTTTCAGACAGACGAAATATACTTCCCCTTACTGAGCTGAGACAGTGGCCATTAATAATTCCATTCTCACTCGCGTTTACAAGTGTCAGATGAAAATGTTGGTCTGGGACTATTTTTTTCATTCGTACAGTTTCAATATGAGCGTGATGACGTTTCTAGATTTGGGGAAGGGGGCGGGGGGTTATAGTGTAGTCTTTCTCAAGTATCGTGTAGATCGGTTTAAGTTTCACGGCTTAAGCAGTTTCATTTAGGTGTCACATGCGTCTTCGACGCCTCTCTCGCTGTATGTGTGATCTCGTTAAACAAGGAAAATATGGAAATGAATTTGTATTCTGCTTCTAAAATTGACAAGGATTGAATAAATCAGACCGAGAAAATTATTCTCTGACAACTTGTTCCTCTTTTCCTTGCAAGTTGAACGCTGTTTGCTAAATAATTCTTCAGGACAAACTGATCTCCTGTCTTTGAAAAATAAACAGAAACTATCGACCTCTGTATTATTGTCATTGGTCCAATAAGCGATGACTCACTGACTCCTCCACGCCACACGCCACAACCGCACTCACTGTCCCGATTAAACGACATGGCGTCCCAAATAAGAAAAGCAAATTGAAAATGCTTAAAACTGAACTCTGATAACTCTTGAGTGTTTTGCCTAATGTAGGCTAAAAAGTGTCAGATTGAAAACCAATTCTGACACAGATTAAAAGATCGCTGTATTGAAATCTGTTTCACTTAGGAATTAGGTAGTGAACTCAGCTCGCCAATAGGAGATGGGTTTTGTTAATTCAAAGACGTAAACACTTTGCGCCAGTCTGAAATATATTTGGAAGTCTGCACTAAACTGTTCATGTCTGTAGCTAAATTGGACGACTTGCACGATTCTCATTATATTTTCCCTATTCTAGACATGGAGTTTAAAAATATTGTATATTTTAACCCGTAATATTAATAAAATACTTCGAAAAATTCATCTCAACCTGACTCAGAGACGGATGTATAACCTCGATTTGAGTATAGTGATGTAAACTTCGATTATGATACTTTAAATATTTTTAAGAAATTTAATTGAATCAAATATAACAATGAACATAAGTCATAAACATGTATAACTGTTATAAACTGTTCAGCATTTATGTCGTCTTCAATTAGTTACCAAAGCCTAATTTGATGATAGTGCAGGCAGTTTTTATTTGAGTTTGAAAATACCGATTGTGGTTTTTTCGACGAACGTATCTCCTCCAACGTCAACGTAAGTCACTTCAACTCTGATGATGGAAGCAACATATTCTTCGGAACATTTGGTAAGCAGACTTAAGACCACACGACGTCACAACACTGAAGACCGAAATCGTGAGAAAATAAAATCTCATAGACTTTGACAATGTCTACGTCCGAACGTATATTTTTTTATGTCTTTAACGAACTGCTAACGAACACACGTATAAACAAAGTTAGACCCGGAGATAGGGTTTAGCTCTATCTATTGAACCCAACAGAGTAGGTACCTGAAGACGGAGATAGAAACCCATCTCCGAAACGTCGTTTTTTCTATTTTATTATTTTACTAGGCGATGGAAAATATCCAAGGAAATTTTTATTCAAATAACTCACCATCGTCACGAACTTTTAGATCGGTGTACGTTACAGACAAAGACAATGCGATCAAAGTGTTCTGTCAAACGTCTGTACGATCCGTAAGTCAAAGATTTAATTACGAATTTAAACAGGAAACAGCCTATTGCCTGAAACAGCTTAAGCGATGGTAGCAGTGTTAATAACAACCTTCCTCGATACCTACATCATGGTGATGGGCGTCAGACTTTAACGTGTGTGGGTCCATGCGAACTGCCTGAGGTCCATAGGCGGATACACTAAAGTTGCTACCTGGGATGGTCTGACATGTTCCCCTCAGCACCACTACACAGAAACATTGTCCATGATCCATTATCACCTTCTGGCTTTTGAACTACAAATCCTTCTTCCCTCTTTACAAAATTTATGTGCCGGTATGCCCTTTATCCAAACCATTCATTCGCTCCATGGGTGGCCGATCTCTGAAGTTTCCGCCTCTCCCATCCCTACTTTCAGTAGTCGACACAGAAAGACTTGTTTCTTCATATCTCTTCAATTCACCACTAACATTCAGCGAAATAAAAACTTCAGACTGATAGATGTCGCTTTTCTGGGTTGCGACGTCGT